CACATAAAATAAAAAATTTATATCTTTATGTTTGAAGCCTGAAATGTGGCAAAAGGTTGAAAAGTTCAAGGGGGCCGAATACTTTCGCAAGGCACTGTATGCCTTCAGGCCACAGATGGAATGGCGACCTGGTGCTAGGCAGGTCTCAGGACATCCGAACGTCAATGCTGAGCGAAGGGGAATGAGTGACCCGGAAATATATAGCTCCAGAGAGAGACACCGGAAGGACAGCAAAGCACAGGAAACTTAGGACAAGACAGAGTAGGAGCGCCCTCTGGCTGCAGAGGGCGTGACAATCATCTTAGCATTCTTCTGACGTTTGTTGCTATTTGTAGAATACAATAAGTCTTATATGAAAACACTTAAAGCATTTATGCATAGATTGTAAACCCTGTTTAGATTATAACTCATGTCTACCGTACTGTACATGATCAACAGAAGAAAACTGTTTGTTAGTTGCTGCTGATGTTATAAGAATCATTTTGCTCCATTTATACAAAATATGAGATTAGAATATATAATCTCTTATTAAATAAAAAAAAATTAACCAGGGAATGATAAAGTGAGAAATTGAATTAAATTCAGTACTACAGTGCAACAGGACTGTAGTAACCTTCAACTACCTCATGTTTCATTTGCTATATAGTGATTAATGATGATGTATTGCTTTAAAAGAAACCATTCTGGTTTGTATAATCTTTTTATGAATGTTTAATAAATCCATTTGTGCAGAGTATATTCTGCATGATGAATTGTGAGCTCATTTCTAATAGTCTTAAAGGGCTGTCTTAAAGGGAAGATTCATAATGGTACAGTAGCTTTAAGAGGCAAATGGTATATTTAAATATACTGTATTGTAATGCCATAAGGGACAGAATCCACAAGGGGTGTCACTTTCCCAGAGGCCTCCTACAATTTTTAGAGTGCAATCCCTAAGGTACAGAATATAAATCTGTATGCTAGCCATAGAGTTAAACATAATTAGCTAGAATCAGCATAGTCCTTGTAGGAGAAGATTGTCTGACTTCTTTAGAAAATTACACAGAAGTGTATATAAACTTTAATATCAGAGCTCAAATGAAAATATTAGATAACATTACAATTTTAGTTTACTTTTCATATATCTGTGTATTGTTAGCTTCAAAAACACTGTAATATAATAATTGAACTGCTGTGTTCCTCAAAGGTTTGGAATTGGATGAAGTGAAAACATCAAAACATTTATTCTTGTATTTGAAACAAAGTGAAATTAATATAGTCAGTACAGACATACATTAAGGGGCGTTTAAGATACAGTTGGTAGAAATATGGGAGTGGCTTTTTCAATACATGCTGCAGTGTTACGTAAATAACGATGTAAATGAAAGTTCTGCATTATCAAGGAGATGTTAAAGCAAAGTGTCATTGTATTTGTTTGATATCAAAGATCACAGTGTATAATAGCATGACATTAACCTCAAGGTCCTTGCTTAAACCCCTGTCAAAGACAATAGTAAGGATTTAATTGAACATGATTTATGTGATGATAGTATTGTTACACAGGTGCCACAGGCATCCATAGAATTCCTCCTGGCATACATCAGTTTTGAACAAAATAAATCATGCAATCAGCCATTTATATACACACAGGATTATATTAGATTTAGAGATGATCTAATAAAATGTTTAATGTTTTTTGTCAGTTTAGAACAATTTCATCTCTAAATACTGAAATCTCAGCATCATCATGTACAAAAAAAACAACAAGAGAAGTAGCCTAGTTCACATTTTCTTCACATTTATGTTAAAAATCCACTTACTTCGTCAGCCAGCTGGTCAGCACGTTGCTGCATATCAGCCAACTCATTACGCATATCTGCGTCTTCTGCCATGGTGAAGGATAGTTGTGGCTTTTAGTTTACTGCAGGGGCTCCAAAGAGTCCTGAAAGCACAAAAATTATTATATCAATGCCAATGTTAGTTATAGTTTGACATATAGTTTAATATTTACCTAAAGAGACTGCTACAGAGTTCAATTTAAACTTCAGGAGTCATAATATATACATACAGTATGAGAAATACAAGATGAACTACAACATGACACTGAATATATAAATGCCAGGTTTCTTATTTTAAGTAGAAATTAACAGCTTTGTAATACAGAAAAACCTTTCATATGTCACCCCAGAATGTGAACAATAATCAAGAGTAAATATTAAGTAGATTAGTCATATTAAGTAGGTACAATAGCATTGTAGGACAGGAAAAGTAAGCAAATGACTACTTAAATAGCATACAGCACCTTAAAGATTCTTACTATTCTGCTTAGATCTATCATGTAAATCTCGCTTTTATCTAAATTCTTACATTTTTTTTTTACTTCTACCCATTAAAGATTCATGTATCCATATTCTGCTATCTAAACTCTGATCTGCATTAGAATTAGTCAACCCTTACCCCCACCAGTCACTGCTTTATATCCTGAGCATCAGAAGAAACCCTTTTGCTTATAACATCAGAAAATTCAGAAAGTGATCTAGAAAATAACAATCTTTTTTGGGGCAGGTGCTGACTTTTTCATCTTGCAGCATGAGGACATGTGTCATCTGCAGGCATGCTGTCACATCAACATTGTCAGGAAGGGAAGCTAGTAAAGTCCCAGGACTAGACCAAAGTATCATCATGCATGCATGTTGCCATTAATCACTAATGAGGTGTTGTGACTCATGGTCTTTTAGATTATGACCTGCCACTTACCATTTGTCTGTAATATCTTGCCAAGTTAGAAATAGCTGTGAATATCCCAGTGAGCGACACCACACTGACTCATTCCACCCTCCAACATACTGATTGTGGCATTCTCTTGATCAGTAGGACATATCGGTCCCTTTGTTTTTTTTTCATGATTTCAACCAGTCTTGACCTTCACCAGGTTAAGTTATCTCAACATCTGGGTCCAATCAACTTTCACTAATGAGTGGATTTGGTACAACAGCCAGATTCATTCGAGTTTGCCATTGTCAGTCATGTATGATCAAATCATAAAGATTCTAAAACATTTAATCTCTTTCCAAAATCAGTATGCTTTATTTTTCTAAAATCATACGTGTAAAGTGAGTTTTGAGTTGTTGCTTGGTATATGACTAATAGTTAGAAAAATCAGTTAAAATGATCCTTAACCACAACCGAAAAGTCCACATCATTGCAGACTGCAGACTGGTTTACATTTTCCTGTGAAGTAGTTTTAAGGGACACAATGTTTACAAAACAAAATGGCTAAGAAAAATAAAGATCCATTACAGTAAACAGCTGGCAAACAAGAGGAGGTCATTAGACCCATCTAACTCATTTACTTCATTGCTAGTAGCTAACTGGTAAGAAGATGTCATCCAGCTGATTCTTGAAAGTTTCAGTAACTGCATCAGCAACATGGCTAAGTGGCCTGTTCCAGACTCCCATAACTAAATGCGATATAACCAACAAAAATCCTGGCATTCTGTACCTCCCAACAAAATCACCCTGCACAAGAACTTCCTCATGAAACTTGGAAGACAGACTAAAAAGAATACATTGTTAAGAACGTAGTGTAGCTGTCCCCCTGTAACAGAGTGATTTTATACTTCGGTTTAGGATATAGATTTTATGGTAAATTTACATAGAAAATTCTTACTTCTACTATACTACAGTAGATCCTCCTGAATATTTTAAAATTTAATATTTTTACATGAAATCCTCATCTTGGTTTTACAGTTTGATAATACATTTCATCATGATTTACAGCACTAGGCTATGGTAATACACGTATTAACTATTGTAAATTATGAAAGCAGAAAACCTATTTTTGTCACTAACACAGCAGTGTAAATCTAAAGCAGTTAAATACAACTGAAACAAAGCAAGAATAAAACTAATTTCATGTTTAAGAAATCAAAGAGAAAAGGGGATAAAGTACTAAAGTACTGTATCTTTTAAATTTGTTACCTTTCAAAAGATAAATCTGCAAGCTACTGTACAGTAGGTTAAAGAAACCTGGTAATGAAGGTTAGGTCAGGACATTTAGATGACTGATTGTCAATCGAGACCCATCCATGACAGTAGCTGTCAGAAATAGTCTAATTCAAACAGCTGGCCACACAATCTGACTTTAGTATTGCTTTTGGCAATGCAATGTCAGTGAGTGCATGTCTTGTGCTGTGTACATACTATCATTCTGTCTCGGCACCCCTGGAGTAGTTGGGGTTAAGGGCTTTGCTCAGGGACCCAATGGAGCTCGATTCCTCTGCCGGCTGCAGGATAGAAACCCGCAACCCGCAGGTGCAGATCCTAAGCTACAGAGCCACCACACCGCCCCATAATTGAAAATTGAAAACATACATACAAAGCTTCTAACAAAGAGTCCGTCTATTTTTCACAGGCATTTCTATACCAAAAGAACTCATTGTTCATTCCTACATTATTATATATTCTGAACACATTTTATTGCAATCCTACCTCATTCTTTGTCATACTATGAAATGTGCTTGTCATGAATACTGTAGCACTCTGTTTTCCTTTTTCTTACACATAAAAAGAGCTGTATAAAAGTGTTCTGGATACTTCATCCTCATGTCTTTCTTCAAAGGCTTTTTTATTGTTGATTTCCACAACAAAGGTGTAGCAGATCAAAGATAATGCAAAGATATTTTATACAGTGTGAACAGTTCAGAGATAGATAATATATTATATGTTAATATACATATTATCCGCTTTATTTACCATATTATTTGTTCATAATTTGTAAATCATCTAGAAAAAGTATATAACAGATATAAAAAAAACCACAACCACCACAAAAATCCTCTATAATCTTTTTTCTATAATCTATAATCTTTTCACTTACAGTATGACTGTAGGAAAGGCAAAAAACAAATAATTCATATTTAAGTATGTCTACAATGGCAATCAGTTACTGTATATCATAATGGAATTTTATATAAATGTGGACATGATAAGATGACAATCAGTTCTATGAAAAATGTATAATTAAAGTTTTAATTAATAGAGTACAATAATTCATTTTTCAGTCAAATCAATTACTCTTCGTGTAATTCACATTCACTAAACAATAAAACACTTCACAGAGCTCGTCTAACAGATCAGATTCTGCTAAACCAGACTTTATCAGTAAGGTAAATGATAGGCTCTTCTCATACTAAACTTTACAGTTTAGTACACAAAACTCATATTATACAGCTTAGCGTAATTATGCCAAATACAGTAGAGATTTGACTTTATGGCAGTCTGTATGAAGGTCAGAGTTATTTTAGAGTTTTGCTCTGACTGACAACATTCAGACTGAAATTAAGTCAGACTAAATATGATAGCTGCTTTGGTCTCTATCTCTTCATGTGATAATGATAGTCTTTTTAAAACCAGCACACCACAGAAATCTAGTGCCTGCATTCTGTAGGCAATGTTCTGTGATAGTTACATGCAATAGTTTAGTAGGTAAATAGTATTTTACAGCTTTTAGCCATTAACATCAGAGTGAATATTTGTTTTGGAACTCTGGGTTTTTTAAACCAATTTTAGGTGATCAATTAGTATTCTGTCCAGAGAACCAACTTAATATATATTGTATATATACTGTATAAGTGATTCTATCCCTATCCCTCATTGACATTATATTGTTTATATCTAATTAAGTGCAGCATGATCAACACTTCCCTATTACTTAAAGAAGTGAACCCCTGAATGCCCTGGGGCCTGTCAAGTCCTCCCATTTAACTACAGATGATCAGTATACAGATCCATTCCAGTGAAGACTTCCAGGAAATAGCAATAGTTTAACACTGTGGTGAATACTGCCTAAAGCTTGTAACTATAGCCCACCATGATGTGGTGGACTTGTCCGGCAGAGAGGTAGTGCATGTGTATTATTAAGTTATAAGTTAACTATTAATGTCTAGTTTGAACTCAGTTGGGTAGTCATTTCAAAGCCTAATTAGACATTTTAATTGAGCAAAAGTGCCAGAATAATTCAGCACATTTTTAGTGAATAAACTAAAAAAATGTCAGGAAAAAACAAGAAAACAATATAAATATTTCCATGCAAAACCATCTTTCAAATTATTCAATGTCAACCATGTCAATCAAGAAATTGTAATACTCTGGATTGGGCATTTTTAATTCTGCTACTTATTAAATCTCTTAGTCTCCCATTTTTAGTTTTTCACCTAGAATTCGCTCTTTGAATATAAATTTAGAATCATAAATCACAATTTGCAGAGAAATACTGTTTTGCTCTTGTTCTAATTGATTTAGAAACTACGACATAAACCTCCATTACCAAATCATTACTTTCTGCTTAATTGCATTTGATAGGATGACTTTAATATAGCTCATCTGAATATATTGTTTTTCCCTAACTTTTCAGATCCATTGTTTCCAATCTTTAAGATACAGTTCTGGCCTGTATTTATAAAGGAAATGCCCATTTTTTGCCTTTTTCCTTTATTCCAGACAAATTAGGTCTGGTGAAAAACAAAACACTGAAAACCTTTGTAGCGAAGATAGCAGACTGAAGAAGATACGTTCTTGCAGTGATACTGACTGTAAGACCTTGCAGACTGAAGCAATCAATAGCTGTTGCTGATTTACACTTATTAAAAAATCTATAAACTGTTATCAATTGGCTGGCTCCATTTTGAAAGAGGCCACATCACTTACATCACTGCATAAACAGTCTGCAGGAACTATTACAAGCAAACCTCCAGACCAAATTCTTTACAGATTGAAACAGAGGCAATAAAAACAGATTTAGCAGAGCTGCAGCTGGATGTATTAGAAAGATGCTAATTCAACATTAGCTTCCATAAGAATGGACTATAGCATAAATAAGGTAATCATCCTTATCCTTATCAGAAGCTTGTGCCGTGAGTGGGTACCTTTTTCCAATCAGAC